GTGTGCTCAAGATGGAATTGTGGAATTGCACTTGTGGGATTATTGGAACGATCTGTAGAGTAAAAGTATGGAAAAACTTGCTCCAATATTACGGCTCTATAAAATTATTTGAAACATCAAAGATTGTAATATGACATAGATAATTAACGGTCGAAACTCATAATTAACGGTCGAAACTCATACTTAATATCCCGAAAATGAATCGTATTTTGTTCCGACTCCATGAATTGACCTTTTATTAAATAGATCAATAAAGTTAATTATACCAAAGCCTTGCAGGGTGCCCATTGGTTTACTTTTTGATAAAACCCTTACCAGGACTCGATAACATATTTTTTATCGTTCCAGAAAAGAGGGCTATATCTTTTTTAATGATAAATTCAAATCTGTCTGAGCTTATGAGCTTTACATATTCTGTCGATGTGTTTTTTGACATATTATTTTCTGGGATCAAACGTTTATAAGTCAGTAATATAAGGAGATAACCAGTGAACGTCTGAAATCAATTAAAAGAGCGTAATGTTAGAATATACAGTAATACAAACTTTGATTTAAAAATAGCTAAAATTTAGTATCGGTATTTAAAAGCCTTGGTAGATCTACATAACTTACCCAATTACAGAATTAGCACTGTTACAACTAATTTGTAACCAATCACCTTAACCGTTAAGGGATATGATTTTTGTATTGTACGTATCAGGTATATATATAAAAAATGGATACGAAAACTGTAACTAAGAACGATTCAACCTGGTTATTGAGTGTTTCTATCATGAAAAAGTTATTAATTTTAGTAATGTTTTTATGGTAAGCAGTCCTTTGCATATATCTATTCGATCCAATTTTGATTCAGAATCAAAAAAAAAAATATTTTTGGCTCCTTAAGTCTCATACTTCAGATCTTGATGGTGGACATAACGTCGGGGAGCAACATTAATGCTCGTGACGACGAACAAGTATTACCACAATCGAAGTTAACAGAATCACTAATACAGGAGCAAATTCATTCTGTCCCTGAGGATTGTGTGACGACAGGAGAATGTACCTATAAATTCGGAGAATGCGAACCTTGTAGGCCACTTGAGGACTTGGTAAAGATATTTATTAATATTTGATTAACAACTTAGTAAGATCATTAAGATTCACACAATATTTCTTATATTCTTTTTTTTTTTGTGTCATTAATAGGCAGAGGAATATTGTAAAGAACATGGAAACAAACAGGAGATTATTTGTCAATGGAATGATACATCAAAAAATGATACTCGTTTTTTTCGAGCTTGTCGACGAGTCATAAGACTTGAAAGAGCAAAATATTTTGAATTCCAGGTTTGAATAGTTTTGAGATATAATTTATGATTCTATGCATATACATTTTAGAACTAATAATTTATTATTTACATTCATTTATAGTTTGTTAATATATTCATTGCATGTATATCTTGTGCTATTCTGTTTTATCGAAGGCAAAAACTCACAGCAGATGGATATAGAAGGTTAGCCAGGCGTATCGGTGGTAACATATTATAGATTTTTATAGATGGAATTTTTTATTTTAATGACAAATTATTTAAGATGCCTACAATTAAACATTCATCATATACAAATGGGAACCGCATGAGATAAAGTGAAATTAAAAATTAATTTTCAAAGAACAATATTATTTATATTCATCAACAAACTTGATAGTCTTTGACAATGTAAATAGAATTTACAATAAACATTTTGACTGTAAATTTCGTATATTGGTAACTACTACCGATACGATGGTATATTATTTTTTATACCCTGGTCACTATATCAAGATCGCAGGGCATAAATCAGTTATGTCCTGGGCACTATGTGATAAGCGG